TTCGACGAGCGACGCCGTCCAGGCCGCGTAGGCCGCGAAGGTCGCGAGCGTCACGAGGCCGAAGCCGTGCGACCCGAAGCGCCGCCGGAGCACGCCGACGGAGAAGACGAGCTCGAGCACCGTCGGCACGACGGAAAAGACGCCGAGGAACAGCAAGCTCGCAACCCCCCGCGTCCCGCGCCCAAAGGCCACGGCGACCTCGCCCGTGGGGTGGTTCGCGTGCCAGCGCGCGTCCATGGCGTGGGCCTTGCCGAAGACGGCGGCGCCGAACGCCCGCTGGCACCGCTGCGACACGCGGGAAAAACACAAGCTCCGCAGCTCGCCCGCCGCGGACACGCCCAACCGTCCGAGACAGTAGCTCGCGACGGCCCGCGACGCCGCGGCGGAGCCGTCGCCGCCGTCGCCGAGCGCGTCGACCGCGCGCTGCAGCGCGAAGGGCACGCGGACGTTGAGCGCCTTTTGCGCGACGAGGAACGCGAACGTGAGCGCGAAGAGCAGCTGCTGCGACGGCGTCGCGGCGACGAAGCCGCGCGTGTGCGCGAAGACCTCGCCGAGCGTCGCGCGCGGCGCCGGCGGCGCGGCCGCGCGCGCGGGGCCGGCGGCGGCGCCGTCCGTCTCCGCGGCGGCGGCGTAGTCCGTCTCCGACTCGGTCGTCGCGCCGGGCACGTCGCGCGCGCCGCGGAGCTGCGCCGCGCCCGCGACGCTGCGCGGCGCCTCGATGGCATTGGCGACGGCGACGAGCGCGAGCAGCAAGCGTCGACGCCTCTCCATCGTCACTGCATGCGCTGGCTCGATGCACCGACGATGCCGTCCGCCGGACAGCATCGGTCCCATCGCGTCCGGTCGACTTTACTACTGTAGTTCTATTTAGCAACGCCCTTAACATATCCAGGCGGTATCTGGGTTCATGCGACCGACAAAATAGAGGCTTGGCATGTCGACTGTGGCGCCATTGCCTGTGAACGGGCAGAGGACCAAGCGTGGTGCGCACAGTGCTCTTGAGAACAGCGTTGCGAGGCGGCGCGAGAGGAACAACGAAAATAGTTCATTCGCTTCGTCGTCCACCTCGACCGAACCATTACCACCTTGGTAGTAATTGACAATGCTATCCACGCCGCGCTCCATCTCGATGTTCCGAGGGCCCGCGAGCACGTCGGGCCGAGTCGAGACTCCGAGCGTGCGCCGCACGATTTCATCATAGCTTGCCGTCTGGTCGAGGT